TGAATGGGTAATGAAAGAAACTTTATTAGAAATGTACAACGTTTTGACAAGCTTATATTATCATCAGGTAGAGTATGTATATATATATATATTATTGTGACTATGTAAACTACCTGTACCTGATGATGACATAAGCTTGACGAAACGTTGTACATTTCTAATAAAGTTTCTTTCATTACCCATTCAAGCCGTCTACAAACTTGATTACTTTAGTTGATTACTTGATTCCGCAGCGCCATCACTTAGCACGTTATATAATTAAGTATGACCTGATTCTGTCATAGTCAGAATAACTTTGGAGAGTTCTGAGCTCAAACAACCATCATGGTGTAATGGTATTTGACACGTGGAACGAGCCTGTGGCATTTATAATCCAAACAAATAATTGCCATAAATAACAAAATAATCACGTATTATAAATCATACAGTTTGTTTTGTTAATTTCTTGATGGGCAATTTGTCAAAAGCGAGGCGATTTATAACGAGTAGAGCAAATGGTTCGAATCCGTAAAATGAGGTTTAAGTGGCAGTAAGGACTAAACGTACATACTTTCCATCTGTAAATTTCTCATAATTTGCACAACGGAATTTTCTTGTGTGTTTGCTTATATATATATAAGTCAACCTTAACTTATTTCTTGAAAAGCTAAACACCTACCTCGTGTTTCGTACTCCTCCATTTTTTTTTGTTTCTCAACAGCAAATCATGCTGAATAAAACGTGCTTGCACCACGACGTTTTACAAGTAAAAAGGTAGAATGATTGAAAACCAAAACAACTAATAATAATACATATATAATTGTAACAGTTTTATACTTTTATTTTGATACGTTAATTTGGCGACTATTAAAAAAAAATAAACATCAAGAACAGAAACAACTCAAGTCCAATAAAACTTAATCGTTAAACAACAATAAAGTAACGTTCAACTCACGAAGCTAACGAGGTTTTCCGTATTGTTCCGCTCTTCCTTTTAATGCTTGTGATTATCAGAAGGTCAGAAAACAAAAAGAGAGATCGTTCTTTCTTCATACCGAGTCCACCCTATTCAAAGGAAGAGAACACATTTACTGTTAAGTTACGTATTTCATCAGATGAGTCTTTTTCCATTGATAAATGCTTTTATTTTTGTTGAACTAATCACCTCTTTAAACTACAAACTCAGAGTGATTTCAGCGAAATGTAAATAAGAAGTACTTGAAATTTATATTAGTAATAAACGACCTTATAACACTAAATTTGTTGTTTTTCTAAAATTGTACACTCAAGTTTCGCTTTGTAGCTTCTTCAGAACAGAATTTATTATTTAAACCTATTGAAACTTTGTACCGTAAGTTGTGGTTTGTCATTTAGTGAATAAGGTGTAGATAGAAACGTTGAGTGTCCAATTAAAGAAAAATAATAAATTTGTTGTTGAAAGGTCGTTTATTTCTAGTATCAATATGTCTTGTATACACCAATATGCACTACAGAAATTAATAGTAAGTACTTAACAGTTTTTATTTTGTATTTTATATATAAAAGTTAGTGATATTTCTGGTAATACCTGTGTCTACATTAGTCATTTTTACCCATCGTTTTACAAGAGTCAAACTTCTCTACGATTTCACTTTTTATTGGAATTACATATGAAACTCATTCTTCAGTATTTTATCTTTAGTGCTGTATGAATCTGTTTGTTCTCTTTACTATGGTACATAATAGTAACGTTAAGATTATATCTACAGCCTATTTACGATCTAACCAATCAAAACTTTTAAGACAGTGAAAACAAAATTTGCAGCCTTCTTTTTTTTACGTAAAAAATCATATGCCTAATTGGATAACGCAGTGATGACGTCAGAAAAAAAGTTCATATTCTAATCTTATCCACTTTTACTTTTAACTGGGTTTTGAATTAGATAAAACTTTAAGAAAACCGACCTAATGTATTCATTTAGTACACACACACACATATATATATATATACTTCAATGGATAACGGCGATACATTTTGATGTCTTCTTCAACAAACATCAGTTGTAGAATCTAGTGATAACTGTGTTATATCACGACTAACACTAATCTCACACGTTTGAAACCTTTATCTGGTTTCTTGCTTTAGGCTTCATTACAAAACCATCGATACTTTTAGCAAATCATTTGTGTAAAATGTGGATGTGAAAATGAAGTGTATGGTCGTTTTAACATCTGGTACATCGTTCAGTTCAAAGCGTGATTGTGTTTAGCTAACCAATGATCACTTTACGACCTCATATAATCTAAAATTACAAGTATGTCTAGTCGCAAGAGAAAAATCGTTAAGTTGAAAATGGTCTTGTTTACCTTTTGTTTTTCAACTGAGCAGTATTGTTCACTTTGTAAACAGCCAATATATCGTTTGAATATAATACAAAAAATATGTTTGTTTGTTTGTTT